GTTTAAAAAAAAAAAAAAAAAGTAATCTGGAGATGATTTAAAGTAGAGGATGTGCCTAGGTTATAAAGAAATACTACGTCATTTTATACCAGAGACTTGAGCATCTAAAGGTTTTGATATCCTTCAGAGTCCTGGAACCAATATCCCACATATATCTAAGGATGATTGTATAAGAAAGACATTTTTACATAAAAATATTGAGTGATTAATCATTTTCTTAGAAGTATAAATAAATATTTTAAAATAAATTACTATGGAATACATGCAATAATTATTCTTAGAAACTTACTGAAAAAATACATCAAGAGTTCATGCTACCTATAATTTCACCACACATACATTCTCAACTCAGACATGAGTAATAATATATTTTTCCAGAATACATAAATCTTACATTAATATATCAATACGTAATGAGCAAAGAAGAGTATAATTCAGCAAATTGTTGGTTTATATTATTTATATAAAAGTATGTAATTATAAAGTGCACCCCATCTAATAGGATATATTATTTCTAAAGCAAAGTAAACATACAAATGAGAGATTAAACAAATTAGCATACAATAAATTTGTCTGCTTTAAAGCCGGGAAAAAGATGTGAAAGAAGCTATTTTTGTCTTTAAAAAATTCCTGCTACTTTTATAAACCAAAATTATCCAGGTTTACTTTTATAAAAGTCAGTTGACTATCCTTTTTTATTTTGAGACAAGATTCTCATTCTGTCGACAGGCGCCAGGCTGGAGTGCAGTGGCACAATCTCGGCTCACTGCAACCTCCACTTCCCGGGTTCAAGCAATTCTCCTGCCTCAGCCTCCCGAGTAGCTGGAACTAAAGGCGCTTGCCACCACACCCAGCTAATTTTTGTATTTTTAGAAGAGGTGGGGTTTCACCATGTTGGCCAGGATGGTCTCGATCTCTTGACCTTGTGATCTGCCCACCTGGGCCTCCCAAAGTGCTGAGGTTACAGGCGTGAGCCACCACGCCCAGCCAAATATCCATTTTTTTGTTTTATTGTGTGGCATCTTGGTCAGACCAGGGAACTTTTTTAAAAGCAATTTTACCAACTTTCATTATATCGCTTTTCTTCAAAATGTTTATTGTCTGTGGGTTCATTGTTTGCTTTTTGTTAATTTTAACTTTCTTCTAAATTGAAAGAAGAACTAATAGATGTAAAAAGAAAACTGGTGACATTTATTTTAGCATTTATTTAATATTTATCTGAAGACTGGTGCTTATGCTTCCAGAATTGATTCTCACATATATTTATAAAACCTTCACTTCTTTCATTATTTAGGTATATCAGGCATCAGTTAATAAATTTAATAATAAAATACCCTGAGAAAGAGTATAAGGAACATCCAGGCTACTGTTAGATTTTTGTACGTTTAAAATATTTTAAGCCACTTTGGATAACTCATTTAATATGTTAAATTATGTTTATTTTATATAAATTGTGTGTCTTTTACATAAGCATATCATAAGATCTTAATCTGTCATCAAATTTGATTATTATTTTCAATTTCTCTTGCTGATCATAATCATGTACTTTTACAAATCTTTTATGCAACACTTTGTGTTGTGTTAATTTCACATTTGTCATCTTCTTTATTTTTATACAAAAAATGAGTTAGGAAAGATATATATTTTTTCTCATAATTTACAATGTAGGAAATTTAAGTAGAAAGAAATTAAGTAAATTACCTCCAGAGCCCAACAAATTAACTTTGCAGTTTAAACCAGAACTGAAGTCCAGTAAGCACTGCAGTAAGCCACAACAAAATAATTGCCTGGTCCATTTGTCCAGGCAGTCTATACTGAGGTAAATTAAATAACTTCTCTTTAAACGGTTTTATCTTCATTTAAACACCTTTGGCTATGTTAAACAAAAGCTTTTAGACAAAAATATTGTAATAAAAATATATAAAGTATGTCATTACTATTTTCATAAAATTGTTTATTTGTTCGTTCGTTTATTTATTTTTTATTTTTAGAGATGGGATCTCACTCTGTCTCCCAGACTGGAGTGCAGTGGTAAAATTATAGCTCATTGAGTCTCAGATTCCTGGGCTCAAGCCGTCCTCCCATCTCAGCATCCTGAGTAGCATCAACAGACATGCTTCACCATGCTCATCTAATTTTTTAAAAATTTTTGCACAGACGGGATCTCACTATGTTGTTCAGGCTGGTCTCAAACTCACCGCTTCCCAAGCGCCAGGATTATAGGCATAAGCCACAGCACCCAGCCACAAAAATTTAAAGGTGGTTTATAAATTATAAGCACTCTGGGAAAGAGGACGCACAGGAAAAAAATGTGAATGGAATCTATGAAAAGTACACAGAAAATACCATGTTCCAAGGTTTGGCACCCAGAGACAAAAAAGAAAATGTGATGTGTGATACGCTTTTATTTTTTATTTAAAAAAAAATTTTTTTTGAGAGAGAGTCTTGCTCTTGTCCCCCAGTCTGGAGTGCAATGATGTGATCTCAACTCACTGCAACCTCTGCCAGCTTGAAGCTATTCTCCTGCCTCAGCCTCCTGAGCATCTGGTACTACAGGCACCTGCCACCATGTCCGTTAATTTTTGTGTTTTTAGTAGAGACGGGGTTTCACCACGTTGGCTAGGCTGCTCTTGAATGCCTGACCTCAGGTGATCTCCCCGCCTTGCCCTTCCAAAGTGCTGGGATTACAGGCATGGGCTACCGTACCCGGCCCACTTTTATTTTTCATTATGTGAAAGTATCTACAATTATCTGCAGTGTCACAGATTTCCTGGAACTAACTTCACACCGAATTTAATCACAACAATTTAAAAGCACAAACGAACTTCTGTTTCTATCATCTGAGCCTGCATTTGGGTGAGTGTGGAGGGCGACTGGGATAATATGTATAGCAATATATTTTTCAAATCCTTTTAAAACCTAGATTACGGGAAAAAATAGGAAGAAAATGAAAGATGTGGTGAGTCATGTGCAGCGGAGGTCTCATAAACATTTTCTGAAACATGGATAAAGAAAAATTATTTTGAGGCCTGGACAGCACACACACACAGCTCGGAAGTGTTTGTACACTACAGTTCTAAACGCATTTTCACACTGAAGTTAATTCACCAGAGCCTTTGTAAATTGCTGCGTATCTATTTCCGTGTCACAGAGGAGGGAGAAGAACAGAGGTAAATCTTTTAAAGCAGGCAACGGGGGTCAGAGATAGGGCTTGCCTTACTAGGCGCTGACTCAATGTACCATAGCGTGGGACAGATTGATCTTTGCAGCATGTGGTTAGCTGACAACATCTCAGGTTACAGGCTTGATGCCTTAAAAAAACAGGGGAAGGCCGGGCACGCTGGCTCAAGCCTGTAATCCCAGCACTTTGGGAGGCCGAGGCAGGTGGGTCACGAGGTCAAGAGATCGAGACCATCCTGGCCAACATGGTGAAACCCCGTCTCTACTAAAAATACAAAAATTAGCTGGGCGTTTGGCACGGGCCTGTAGTCCCAGCTACTCAGGAGGCTGAGGCGGAAGAATCGCTTGAACCCGGCAGATGGAGGTTGCAGTGAGCCGAGACTCTGCCATTGTGCCCCAGCCTGGTGACAGAGCAAGACTCCGCCTAAAAACAAAAACAAAAACAAAAACAAAAACGGGAAGCAGAGGGACATAGTAAAATACACCACCCTGCTGTGCTGTAACATGTACAGGAACATGTATCTACATACTCCCACTAGTTCCTCATGCATGAAAATTCAAAGGAAATTATAAACTTCCGCTGTGATATTTTCATTTTTGTGCATTGGCAAATCCTATCCACGTACAACAGGGGCCCTTTGCCTAATTTTTGAAAATTAAGTTTAATTTAAATACAGCCATGCCTATTCGTTTACATACCACCTGTGACTGCCTTCCTGCTACAGTGACTGAGTTGAGTAGTTGCAACAAAGACTGGAAAGGTTGAGATGTTTACTGTCTGGTTCTTTACAGGAAAGTGTTTCCAATCCCTCCTCCAGAAGTGAAAATACATCATGTAACTGCTACCAAAGACCTTTCATGACGCAGAAGCAAAACATCTTCAGAATTACTTGTTTTCTTAGAGTTATTACAACCAGAACAATTTGGGGCCAAATAAAACAAAGAAACAAGGAAAAGAAGTAAATTAAGAAAAAAAAATCAAATTTCAAAGAACGAAAAAATGGGCTCCAAAATAGACTACTTCCCCCTGTCAACTGTTAGGCTGATTTCTGTTTTCTTCTGTATTAGCCCAGGCAGTGAGAATATTTTCAGCCATATCAATCT